CAGACACAGGCACGTTTCCTTCACTGTCACAATTCTCCACCCAGGTAATAGGTAAGGTCCAGGGACACTCATCTTCCACTCTCCTCGCCTTCCCACCCTGCTGACTAGACACAGCCATCAGCTCACAAGGCTGCCTAGGCTCATCCAGACTTTCCTTACCCAGCACCTTCCACTCAGGTACCCTGCCCTGCTTGGGGTCTCAGCTCCCACTGTGCTCAGCGCTGCCCTTGCTGTCCCAGTGGGGGTAGGCAGCGAGCTCCTTGCTGCTTTCCTCTCTGCATCAGAGCCAGCCTGAGCCCCCTCTCCACCGATTGGTTCCCTGGATTCAAATTCAAACCCTTGGCAGTTACCGGAGCAGGGCCTGGATCCTTTCCCAAAGAGACACAGTCACCCCACAACAGGGTCTCGCAGCTGGTATCCTGGAGAACCCCAACAACCAGCCAGCCCCACCCCTCCTGAGTCTGCACAGGGATCTGGGCCATAGGCAGGGTGAGGGGCTTCGTCTCTGGGACCCTCACCCAGCTCACACAGCCCCTCGGCATCTGAGGCTGCACCACCAGGGGCTGACAACAGTTCTCTCTGTCCCAGGATCTCGCCACCCCAGGAATGTCTCCCCATTGACCATCCCCTTCCGCTCCCACTGGAGGTCCGAGGGGCCTGGCCCCAGGAAACTCCACACAGACATATAGGTTGGGATCAGGAGTGGGAGCCTGTCCACCTCCCCACCCATCTGGCTGACGGAGTCTATGGCCTTGGGAACCAGCAAGGGAGCTAGACACCGGGGCTTTTCCGCAGGGTCCCCCTGGTTCAAATCACCAGCCTGCTCAAAGGCAGTGAGGTGGGCATCCACATCCCCCCCACTTAACCAGGGGCAGCAATTTAGTCTCGAGGTTCCCTGTGGAACTGGCCCCCCGGGGTCTATCCCCACTCACCCCTGGGAGGTCCCCTAGGCCTCTCCGCTCCACCTCCGCCAGTTCATCCTGCTGCTGCTTCTGCAGCTCTTTCTCGGGCTCTCGCTGTCTCTCACAGTCCTCTTGCTCTCTCGGACTCAGCTCCAATCCCGTCCGTCTCCGACCGCCCGATGGGGAACCTGATCTTGAAGACCCCCATCTGGTCGGGGACAGGAGTCTTGGGGATGCCTGGCTACCACTCCAGCTGCTCCCAGATCCTGCTGTAGCCCCATTTGGGGTCAGGAATCTGTTCCTTAGATCAGCCATCCTTCTCCAGCTGCACGATTAACTCTGCTTCGGTGAACTTTCCAATGCTCAACCCTCTCTTTCCGCACAGGGTTACAATGTCCTTCTTCAGGAGACGGTGACAGGCCATCACTCTGCTCTTCCCAAGTTGTTGTGGACTCACAGGCCTGTGTGCTCTCAGCTCCCGAGAAACAGAGAAACCGTAGTGTGCCAGCCCTTCTCGAGATCACCACATCTTTGCCAGGGTCGAGCTGCAGACTCCTCCGCCCCTGGGACTGCTCACTGCAATCCCCCGGGTAACCCTGTTACTGCAAAAGTCCTTCTCTTTCCCAGGGCCAAGCCGCAGGCTCCTCCGCCCTGGCCCCTGAGACTGCTCACCGCTGTCCCCAGGGGGACCCCATTACTGCATAGTCCTTCTCGCTGGTCACACTCTCCCAGGGGTTAACCGCCCCCTGAAACCGCTCCTCTCTGAGCCTTCAGCATGCCTGGTCCTCATCAATCCCCCTTCTTTTTACTGCTCCCCAGTCACTTACTGCAGGAAGCGCCGTCCACAGGGTGCAGTACATCCCACCGCTGCCACCAGTTGTCACGGAGTCCCTGGGTGATGCTCTGGAACTGCTCCCCATGAAGCCAGTCAGGACTCTGGGGAAGTCTCCTCTCTGGGAGCAGCCTGTCTTCAGGACACACAGCTCACCCGGCTTTCACCTTCCTGGGTCTGACCTCGGAGCATTCAGCATCCTCTGCCCCTCCGTGTGCTTCCCACAGCGAGTCTGCTCAGGCGGGGCTCCTGGGGAAGCCAGAGGGTCCTGCACCCCAACTTCGCAGTCAGACGTGACTCTCAGCCAGCCAGTAAAACAGACGTTTATTAAACAACAGGAACATGGTCTAACACAGAGCTTGTAGGTGCAGAGAACCAGACCCCTCAGCTGGGTCCATTTTGGGGGGCAGTGAGCCAGACAACCCCATCTGCACTTCACTCCGTGTCCCAGCCAGCCCCAAACTGAAACTCCCTCCAGCCCCTCCTCCCCTGGGCTTTGTTCCTTTCCCCGGGCCAGGAGGTCACCTGATTACTTTGTTCTCCAACCCTTTAGCTCTCACCTTGCAGGGGGGAAGGGCCCAGGCCATCAGCTGCCGGGAAACAGGGTGTCGGCCATTCCCTGTGTCCAGACCTCTGCACACACCTGCCCTCTAGGGCTCTGCAAGGATCATACACCCTTATCCCACCACCTAGATACTTAAGAACTGCCAAGGGGAAACTGAGGCACCCCCACAGTATTTAGAGGAAACATTAAGAACAGTCCCACTTTGATACAGAAGGGATGAGTGTGATGATGAGGGGAGATAGAAATGGGGAGGGGACAAGTGTGACATGGTGGGATGTTGAATATGAGAAGGCAAGTGTGACAGGGTACAGTGAGTGTGACAGGCAGTAGCTGAGTGTGACAGGTGGGGTGAGTGTGACAGGGAGGACGTGGGTGTGATGGTGGGGTGAGTGTGACAGGAAGGTTGTGGGTGTGACAAGTGGGGGGAGTGTTACAGGGCAGGAGTGAGTGTGACAAGGTAGGGGAGAGGGTGAGGTGAGTGTAATGGGGTGGGAGTGTGACAGGGAAGGGATCAGTGTCACCGGGCAGGAGGGGGGATTGTGACAGGGAAGATATGGGTGTGACAGGTGGGGGTGAGTGTGACAGGTGGGGATGAGTGTACCAGGGCAGAGGTGAGAGTGACAGGGCAGAGGTGAGCGTGACAGGTGGGGTGAGTGCGACAGGGTGGGGGTGAGTGTGCCAGGTCAGGTGAATGTGACAAGGCTGTGGTGAATGTGACAGGGTGGAGGTGAGTGTGACAGGTTGGGTGAGTGTGATAGGCAGGGTGAGGGTAAGTGTACCAGGGTGGAGGTGAGTGTGCCAGGTCAGGTGAGTGTGACAGGTGGGGGTGAGTGTGAGAGGGCAGAGGTGAGAGTGACAGGTTGGGTGAGTGTGCCAGGTCAGGTGAGTGTGACAGGAGGGGATGAGTGTGACAAGGCTGTGGTCAGTGTGACAGGGCAGAGGTGAGTGTGACAGGTCGGAGTGAGTGTGACAGGTGGGGTGAGTGTGACAGGGTGGGGGTAAGTGTACCAGAGTGGAGGTGAGTGTGCCAGGCAGAGGTGAGTGTGCCAGGCAGAGGTGAATGTGACAGGGAGGAAGTGCTTGTGACAGGGTGGAGGTGAGTGTGAGAGGGTGGAGGTGAGTGTGACAGAGTTGTGATGACTGTGACAGGGCAGAGGTGAGTGTGATGGGGTGAGTGTGACAGGGTGGGGTGAGTGTGACAGGGCTGTGATGAGTGTGACAGGGCAGAGTGAGTGTGATGGGCTGAGATGAGTGTGAGAGGGCAGAGTGAGTGTGACAGGTGGGGTGAGTGTGAGAGGGTGGAGGTGAGTGTGAGAGGGTGGAGGTGAGTGTGACAGGCGGGGTAAGTGTGACAGGGTGGAGTTGAATGTGACAGGCGGGGTGAGTGTGACAGGGCGGAGGTGAGTGTGACAGGGCGGAGGTGAGTGTGAGTGTGACAGGCGGGGTGAGTGTGAGAGGGCAGAGTGAGTGTGACAGGCGGGGTGAGTGTGAGAGGGCGGGGTGAATGTGACAGGCGGGGTGAGTGTGAGAGGGCGCAGGTGAGTGTGACAGGGTGGGGTGAGTGTGACAGGCAGAGATGAGTGTGACAGGGCGGAGGTGAGTGTGAGAGGGCAGGGTGAGTGTGAGAGGGCGGGGTGAGTGTGAGAGGGCGGGGTGAGTGTGACATGGTGGAGGTGAGTGTGACAGGGCGGGTTGAGTGTGAGAGGGTGGAGTGAGTGTGACAGGCGGAGGTGAGTGTGAGAGGGCGGGGTGAGTGTGACAGGCGGGGTGAGTGTGACAGGGCGGGGGTGAGTGTGACAGGGCAGAGTGAGTGTGAGAGGCCGGGTGAGTGTGACAGGGCGAAGTGAGTGTGAGAGGGCAGAGTGAGTGTGACAGGCGGAGGTGAGTGTGAGAGGGCGGGGTGAGTGTGACAGGCGGGGGTGAGTGTGACAGGGCGGGGGCAGCCCCCGGCCGGGGGGCGCCGGGGTGTGTGCGGGGCGCGGGGGCGGTCGGGCCGTGGGGGGGGGGCGGGAGCGGGGGCAGGCGGGGGGCCCGGGCAGCGGGGGCAGGCGGGGGGCGGGAGCGGGGGGTGCGGGGGCAGGCGGGGAGGCCCGGGCCCCGCGCCCCCCCGACCCCCCCGGCTCGCAGCTGGCCCGCGGGGGCGGTCGGGCCGTGGGGGGGGGCGGAAGCGGGGGCAGGCGGGGGCAGGCGGGGAGGCCCGGGCCCCGCGCCCCCCCCACCCCCCCGGCTCGCAGCTGGCCCGCGGGGGCGGTCGGGCCGTGGGGGGGGGCCCGGGAGCGGGGGGGCGACGGGGGGCCCGGGCCCCGCGCCCCCCCCCCCCAGCTCCCCGGCTCGCAGCTGGCCCGCGGGGGCGGTCGGGCCGTGGGGGGGGGGGCGGAAGCGGGGGGAGCGGGGGCAGGCGGGGAGGCCCGGGCCCCGCGCCCCCCCCCCCCCGGCTCGCAGCTGGCCCGCGGGCGGCTGTTTGCCCAGAGTTAAGGAGGCGGAAGACGCAGGCGGCGCCCGCGCCCGGCTCCATGGAAACGCGCCGCCCGCCCGGCGCGGGGGCCCGGGGGCGCGGCCGATGCGGGCCCGATAGGGGGGGCGGGGGCCGGAGCGGGATCGCGGCTGTAATTACAGCGCGCGCTGCAGCGGAAATTGCTGCGGCCGGGCCCCGCGCCCCTCGCAAGTTGCCTGGAAACTGCCCCCCCCCGCGCCCCGGGTCCCGCTGCCAGCTTCCCCCCGCCGGCGGCGCCCGGAGCGAGCGCGACAATCGCGGCGATCAGCGGGGCCGGAATAATAAACCATGCAGCCCGCGGGCCGCCCCCAGAGCTGCCATGAGCCGCGGCGCCGCCGCTCCGCCGCTGCTGCTCAACATGTACCTGCCAGGTACCGGCCCGCCGCCCGCCCCGGCGGGGAGCCGGCCCGAGGGCACGGCGAGGGGCTCCCAGGGCTCCCCGCCCGCTCCTTGCCTCGCCCCCGGCTCCCCGCGCCGGCAGCCCGGCTCCTTGGCGCTTCCTCGCCTGCCGCCCCCTGCGTTCTCCCTTCCTCTCCCGTCCCCGCCGCTCCGGCCCGGGCGGCGGGCTTTTTGTCCCTATTTAAAGCGCCCCGGGCTCGCTCGGAAATCGGATTTCCTTTTTCCTGGACGCGTTTCCTGGCTTCATAGCCCCGGCGGGGGGGATGCGGCCAGCGGCGCGCAGGGGGCTGGGGACCGGGCAGCGCTTTAAAAGCCGCCCAGCGGGCGCTGGGGAGAGGCAGAGACTCCGGAGCGGGTTGGGACTTGGCCCCGTGCGAACGCGTCTCTGTCTCCGCTCCAGATCCAGTCGGGGAGACTCTGTTCAAGGAGGGGAAGAGCCCGGCGTGGGGCTCGCTCAGCCCTGGCGTGCAGAAAGGTAAGGGCGGCGCCTGTCCTTCCCGCCGGGCCGCTCCGCGCGGACCGCTCCGGGAGTCAACCGCGAGCTTTTACACGGCGCTTCGCAGCGCAGCCTCCGCCTGCCGGGCCGCTGGGACGCGGCGCGTGGTTCGACTCCGGCGGAGGCTTAGGAACCTTGCCGGGGCCAGAACAGGGGTATTCGCCCCCCGCCCCGGCACTGAGGCCGGGCTGGAAATACGAGGGAGACACAAGAGCGACCCAGCCCTTCGGGGGAAGGGGGGCAGCAGGCAGGGGGATCCCCTCTCCCGCGCGCGGTGAAATTGCCCGGCTGGGATGGACGCTTTTCAACCCCCGGAATTTAGCTCCGCGGCATCCGAGCGCCGCGTTCGGGGACGGGACCCAGCGATCCGGGCTCCCCATCAGCTGGGAGACCCGGGCTTTGTTTTCGGGGGCGCGGGGCGGTGGTAATTCGTCTTTCCCCCCGAAACCAACGTTTTCCTTTCGACCCAGCGCCCAGCTTCTGCCAAACCCCGACGGATTATTGGAAACAACGAAGGGAAACTTCCCCCCCTCCCTGCACCCCCAAATCCCACCGCCTCTGCTGTGGGGAGGGTAGCCCAAGGGGCTGGCCCCACTGGAATCCGAATTGGCCGCGAACTCTCTGCGCTTAACGTGGAGTCTGACCCTGGCGCGGAAACCTGCCCTCGGGGTTTCCAGAGGAGAATTTTGATTTGATCATTTGCAAAGTCGATGCGGGATAAACTTTCGATGGGGGGATTTGGGGAGAGGCTGGAGGCCACATGCGCAGCAGCTTGTGCCAGGCGGGCCCGATTGACCCGTTAGCTCGAGTCCCAGTGATCGCCGCGCTGCGGTTTGTTAATAAACACAATCGCAGGAATCCGGCAGAACGAGCCGCCCAATGTAACAAACACCGCGAAATGTTCGGCTCAAGAGGTAGATTTAAAACAAAACCGAGCCCTAAGAAAACCCCCCAAACCCGCCCACCTATAAATCTGCCCCTCGGACAGACTCTCGTCTGTCTCGCTCCCTTTAAAACACTTGTCCCTTGTAAACGGGAGCCCTGGCCATCCATCTGCTCCGGATCCGGCCATTCACGCCCAGCTCTCGACTGTTTCCAGCCTGTGCATTCACCGGGGGTTAAATTCTGGTTTGTGGGTCCTTGGATCCGAACGTCAAGCGGAACTCGAGGGGAAAAGGGGGTGTCAAATAAGAAGACGCAGAGTTCAAGAAACGAAATGATCAAATAGCAAACCTGTCCCGGTCTCTATCCCCGACACCGCGTTACCCGGCACGGATCCATTCCTGTGTGCGGGGGACGGGACAGTCTCTGCGCCTCTGAAATGGTCTCAAAACGGTTTAACCTCGTTTCCTTGGACCTATTGGCTATTTTTAATACACCGCAGCCGGCAAAGATCAATATAAACGGGGTGTGGACGGAACAACCCAAACCCGACAACCCCGGAGTAACAACCCCCGGATGAGCCCGGCTATTCTGTCCCGATTAATACCCGGTTGTCTGGGTTTGTTTCCTTCAGCCCCAGTGTCCGAACAGCGATTCGTGGCACGCAATGAAATCGGGCGCTATTGAAGCGTAGGGACCGATCAGGGTGCGGCAGTGCGGGGTTTGAGAACAGAGGCCGTAGCGCCCGGAGAGACCGTGCTGGGGCGGGGGGGTCGGGGCGGCAGCAGGCTGGATGCCAGGGGCAGCCGGCTCTCGAGTTGGGCGGGGGATTTGCCCAGGACTCTGGGGGCTGGCACCTAACCTGGGTGTGTCGGGCACAGAGGAGACACTCTCCGCTACTGTGCCCAGCAAACGCCCCATGAAAACACCGGCCTGACCCTCACCAGCGCTTTCTGCCGGCCAGGTTCCCTGTTACCCCCGTTCCCTCCCCCCGTCTACGGGCCCAGCCAGGCACCCGCCGAGAATTATGAACCCAGCTGTTCCTGTGAGGAACCCACTGGCCAGGCAGCTCCCAGCCGCCAGTCCCCGGGGCAGGTTTGAAAGGTCTCCCGGCCCCTGCACAATGATCTGGGGGAAGAGCTCAGGGACGCCCTTTCCAGGGAGCTGCAGTGGCCAGGGTGGGGCTGTCTGCATCTCGCACACCCCCCGTGCCTCGCTTTCCCCGTGACTGAGCGGGGCTGGTGTGAACGGGAGCTGCCTTGGGCGAGCGCCTTTCAGGAGGAGCGCTCGTCTGACTGCACAGCGGGGGCTGCCGCGCCCGTCTGAACGCAGCCCGGAGCCGCAGCCTCCCCCGCCCGCGGCTTTGGGGTGCGGTTCCCCGAGAACGCAGTACCCCTGCCCCTTGCATTCCCTCAGCCCGGATCTGCAGCACCAGGCGGGCAGAGCCAGAGCCTCGTTCATGCAAACCGAGCTCCGGGAAGAGCGGGAGAGGACCGAGGGCAAGCGGCGGAAGAGCCGGGTTATGGAAGGGGTGGGGGGGGCCGGCGGCTGCTGGCAGGAGCTGCAGGCTGGGAGGCGACGTGCCAGGAGCGCAGGGGCTGGAGGCGGAGGGGACCTTTCAGCCTGGCCGGCTCTGTGGGGCGGCTCAGCCCCTCATACCCGGGAGGAAGGGGTGCTCCCAGGGGTGCGCGGGCAGCCGGATTGAACCGATCTGCTAGGGAGCGAGAGGGGACGCACTGGAACTGGCTTCCGTGAGGACAGGACCAGGGGGACGTGACAGACACATACAGACTCAGGACTGGGCTAGACCGGGAAGTTCTTTTCAGCCTGTCTCATGACACCAGGACAACGGGCCATTCACTGAAAGGGGGAAAATTCAAAGCAGAGCCCAGGAAAGCTGTTCACACAACCCGCACTTAGCCCGTGGAACTCCCTGCCACAGGATATCCGTGCAGCGGAAGGCTTAGCAGGATTGTTTGTAAGGGTGATTCATAGGAGAGCAGGACTCTCCAGGGCGGTTACAGTAAATATTACAAAAAATAACCGGGGTATCCTGTGGGTGACAGGACACTGGGCTGGCGGACCCCAGGTCTGATCCACTCTGGCCATGCCTGTGCCGTGACACCCCCTCTTCCCAATGTTACGGTTTAAGAGGAGCCAGCCCTCTAGCTGACCCTGTCATTCTAGTACCAGGTGTGCCATTCCCAGCGGAGTGCGTGGCTGCATGCCCAGAACCATCGCACCCTGGAGCCGCCTCTCTCTAGACCTGGGGCACAGCCGGGGTTACATTCCCAGGCAGCGCCCCCCGTGCTAACCCCAGACAGGCAGACACCAGGGAGCACGGACGAGGCTCCTGGGCCTTTCGACAATCTGAACGCTCAGAGCAAGCCCCACCCATGCTCTGAAAACACGGGCTGGCATGGTTTGCTCTGCCCCAGGCCCCAACTGCTGCCAACACGGCTGGCAGGTTGCACCATATCCTGCTCTGGGCAGCGCCTTGCCAGGGAGCTATTGACAAACTCAGAGCAGCATCACAGGACCTGGCTTGGGCTTGACTAAGGGGTCGCTGTCTGCAAGTAGTTGAGGGGTGCAAACCCTGAGGATGGGGGGGGGGTTATTTAGGACACTGGGGGTTGAACTGGGAGTTATGGGATGAAATTGAGAAAGGGAAAACATCATCCGCACTCTTATTAGTGGTACCCTGACTCTTAGGAAACCAGTGGGGGAAAGCAGAGGACAATCCCAACCAGTCACAGAAATTCCTGCTGCTTCAAAAGGGCTGATTCTCAAAGCTGAGGAAAAAATTAGTGAAATTGACCAGTAGGAAAATTTTAGAGAGAAGAACATCTGTGAAAATTGGTAGCTCTTTAAGAAGAGTTTACACGGTGGCCAAAAAGCCATGGTTCCACAATTGCGAAAGGACAACTTTGACTTAAAGCCCATCCTGGTTCAGTGGTGAGGTGAAGGTAGCAGTTGGAAATAAAAAAAAGCCATACCTAACAAATGGGGAAAAGAGGAAATAGGTTGCAATCGATATAAATTAGAAGTAGTGAAGTGTAGAAAATTGATAAAGGAAGCTGAAGATATCAGGGAAAAAATCCATGGCTGGCAGGAAATTAAGAAGGAGTTTTTAAAGTATATTATGAACAAAAGAAATACTAGTAATGGTACAGGCTCGTTGCTAGATAGAGATGGTGAAATTGTTAATGATGCAGAAAAGGTAGAAGTGTTCAATAAATATTTATGTTCTATATTTGGAAAGAAGCAGGCTGATGTACTTGTATCACATGAGGAAGATTAAGTACTTTCCAGTCCATTAGTAACTCAGGAGGATGTTAAACAACATCTACTAGGGCTAAATAGTTTTAAATCAGAAGGACCAGATAACTTGCAGGTAGCAAGAGTCTTAAAAGAATTGGCTAAGAAGATTTATGGCCCACTCATCTTAATTTTTAATAAATTTTGGAATATAAGGGAAATACCAGAAGACAGAAAGTTGTGCCAATATTTGAAAAGGGCAAGTGGGATGACCCAGGTAACCATAGGTTAGTTAGTCTGACATCAGTACCGGGCAGAATAATGGAAAAACTCCCACAGGGTTCAGCTGATAAAGGAATAAAGGACAGGAATATAATGAATGAGGCCAACAAAGGTCTTGTCAAACAAACCTGATTTCAGACTTTGCTGAGATAGCAAGTTTGCCTCACAGAGGTAACTGCATACCTGGACCACACGCGGACTTTGGTAAGGCGCTTGCCCTATGTGATATCGCGGGAACACATGTTACATGCACCAGGAACTGGCTGATGTCCATGGGGAACCACCAGGGGATGTGGGGTCTCTAGCGAGATCAGCACCAGGCCTGACGCTGTTCAGCGTCTGCTTTGGAACACGCACTATGGAGGTCCCGAGGTGAAATTCACTGGCCTGCGCCACACAGGTGGTCAGACGAGAAGATCTAATAGCGGGTCCCTTCTGGCCTTAAACGCAGTCAGAGATCAGGGGCTCATGTGCTAGGCGCTGCACGGACAAGGAAGAGAGAGGGCAGGCAGCTCACAATCTGGCCAATTTTTGCCTCTCCAGACGCCTGAGGTTCC